TTAGACCTAATTAAAATTTATAACTTCTGCTCTGTGAAATCTAGGTGAAGAAGATGAACAAATAAGCTACAGATGAGAAAAATACCTTTTCAAGTCACGTATCCAACAAAAAACTAACATCTAGAATATATAAGTAACTCATGAAACTTAACAGTAAAAATAAAACAATTTAATTAGACAATGGGCAAAAGACATGAAGAGACATTTCGATAGAGAAGATATGCAGACAGCAAATTAAGTACCTTAAAAAATGTTCGATATCATCAGTCATCAGTGAAATGCAAATTAAGACTTCAGTGAGATATCAATGCACATCTATCACAATGGCTAAAATAAGAAATAGTGACAGTGTCAAATGCTGGTGAGGATGCAGAGAAACTATATGACTTATACATTGCTGTTGGGAGTATGAAATGATAATAGCCGCTCTAGAAAATAGTTTGGTGGTTTCTTATAAAGTTAAAAAATACATCGTCTCATTCCCTCATGTATGTGTTCTTTTGTTGTCACCATGTTGAAATATGTTTTGAGGAGCAATTAGAATAAAAGGTGTTCTGTGTAAAAAATAAATAAACATGCAACTGGGCATATACTGGGCAACAATTGAACGCCTTGGTATTTATCCCAGAGAAATGAAACCTTACATTCACACAAAAGTCTATCCACAAATGTACATAGCAGCTTTATTTGTAGTAGATGACGACTGGAACCGGCCCAAATATTCTTCAGCCAGTGAATAGTTCAACAAACTACTCTATATCCACAGAATAGAGTACATCACAGCAATAAAAAAATAAATAAAAATAAAAAATAATTAATTCTTGATACAGGCAATGACCTGGATGAATCTCCAGAGAGTTACGCTGAGTGAAAATAGCCAATAGCAAAGGTTACATGCTGTATAATGCCATTTATGTAACATTCTGGAAATGACGAAATTATGGGAATAGAGGACAGATTAGTGGTTGCCAGGGGTTGGAGGTGGGGGCAGAGAGAATAGGAAGGGAAGATGGATGTGGTTATAAAAGAATAGCATGAGGACTTATAAAAGAATAGCATGAGGGGTCCTCATGGTGGCAGAAACATTCAGCATCTTGACTGTGGTGTTGGATACATGAACCTCCACAAGTGGAAAAATTGTGTGAAACTTAATACAGATGAACATGCACACACAACTGGAGACGTAGGAATAAGACAGGTGAATTGTATCGCTGTCGATAGTCAGTTGTGATATTGTATCATAGTCTTACAAAATGTCTCCATTGGGGGAAACTGAACACACTATAGAAGGTATCTATCTGTATTATTTCTTATAATTGCGTGTGAATCTACACTTATCTCAAATAAATTGATAATATTACCTCTTATTTCAATAATCACTTAAGTATTTGACAATTTCTGAAATGTTAAATGTGTTCTATATTTTTATTTCAATTGGATGAGAATAAATGATATCAGAATTTCATATTGATTAACTCAAATAGTCTGGTTATGAAAGGCTAAAATGTGGTCAAAACTTCCCAAAGCAGAGACACAGATTTTTACTTATCAGAAGATATTGATCTGAAACAGTTACTTCTCTCTAAGGGCTGAAGGAGACAACCAAAGAGATCCAGCAAGATTCCTGGGATAAAAGAAGCCTGCAAATGTTCAGGATTCTCCCTCTCTCTCTGTCTCTCTCTCTGTCTCTCTGTCTCTCTGTCTCTCTCTCTCTTTCTCTCTCTGTCTCAACTGAGGAGTTGGAGCCCCATCACCTACCAACACAGAAACTGCCTCAGATTGATTTTGGAAGGCAAATATTTGAAGTGCACATTTTATAGGCTATTGACCGAAATAAATTGTCTGGAAATGTGCATCACTATGGTCATTCTTATTCATAAAGATTGAATAATTGAGGTTAAAATGAGAATGTATTCATTTGAAGCTAGTTACCATTAGGCATAATCAGGTGTGAAGCCAGAAGCCAATTCAGCCACACATCAGAGGGCCCTTAGACCTACAAATCATGTCATGGACACAGTGGCTCCTTGCACACTCACTGGGAGCACTCGCTGTAGGCCAAGTGTCTATAACTTCAACCCTGCGCATATGTGGCTGTTATTTAGAACTCTCCTGAGGTATAGATTTACATTACCATCTGCCATCTACTTGCTGTTTATATCTGCCTTAAAAGCGGGGAGGGTGGGCATAACCAATTAAAGTATGCCTGGAAAGCCCTGGAAAAAAAACACCCCAACAACAACCTGAACTTGGGAGAAGTACACATGTCTATTCAAAGGGGAAATAAGGAATTCATAGTCTCTTCTCTCTTTGAAAATATTCCCTTTGAACTTGGGAAATTAAGTGACAAAAGAGCGTTTTAAAATTCCTAACTCAGTTCAGCTTCTCTGAGGAGCCTCTGAAGTAATCTCAACTTTATATGCTTTAAAATTAATTTAATGATGAGACTTGATAAAAATTGAAAACTTTTGTTCTATGAAAGACTGTTAAGAGTTGGAAAAGATGAGCTATAAACTGGGAGAAAACATTTGCAAAAGTGTATTTCTGATAAAGGACTAGTATCTAGAATATATAAAGAATTTTCAAAACTCTACAGTAAAAAAGCAAACAGTCCAATTAGAAAAGTGGGTAAAAGACACAAAGAGACATTCACCAAAGAAACACACAGATGGCAACTAAGCACATGAAAATATGTTTAAGATCATTAGCCAATGGGAATGCGAATGAAATCCACAATGAGACATCACTACACACCTTTGAGAATAACTTTAAAAAACTGTAACGACACTGAATGCTGGCAAATGAGTGGAGAAACTGAATCGCTCATAAATGGCTGGTACAAATATGAATGGTGAAGACACCCTGGACAACAGTTTGGCAGTTTCTTATAAAATTAAACATGCAATCGCCATAGGAACCAGTAGTTCCCCTCCTGGGCAATTATCCCAGAGATATGTTTACACAAAAGCCTGTACATGAATTTCCATAACAGCTCATTCGTAATTGCCAAACACTAGGACCTATCCAGGTGTCCCACGACAAGTGAGTAGTTAAACTTTGGTACATACCGGGGAGTACTACCCATCGACAGAAAGGAACAAATCGTTAACATATGAAATAAATTGGATAAATCACCAGGAAGAATGCTGAGGGGGAAAAAAAGACAAACTCAAAAAAGTTATATAGTGTATGATTCCGTTTACATAACATTTTTGAAATGACAAAAAATATAAAAACGGAAAACACATCAGTAGTTACCAAGGGTTAATGGGATATAAAGAATTCATACTCTCTTTTCTCTTTGAAAATATTCCCTTTGAACTTGGGAGATCAAGTGACAAACACGCATTTTAAAATTCTTAACACAGTCCAAAGAGCCTCAGAAGTAATCTCAACGTTACATGCTTTAAAGCTGGAAGGGAGAGTAAGGGAGGGGATGCAGTAGGGGTGGATGTGGCTACACGGGGCAACATGAGGGATCCTTGTGGTGATAAAACTGTTCTGTGTCTTGACTGGACTGTATTATTATCAAAATACCAGTTGAGATATCATACTATAGTTTTCTAAGCGGCACCAGTGGAGGAAATTACTTAAAGAGTACAAGAGATTTCTCTGTATTATTTCTTGAAACTGCATGTGAATCAACAGTTATGTCGAAAAGGTTTAATTTTCTAAAAAAAATTGAAGTGTTTAGGAAGAAAGTATGTTTTTTCCAACCAAGTTTGGAAGTGAAGATGTTAACCCATTGGCCAGGAAGGCTGTTGATGAGAAGAAAGGGGTGGGCAGTTTGGAGCAGAGGCTGCTCTCAGGGACTTCCTGTCAGCAGCGAGGGTTCTCCCGTCCGGCCAAGAGCACTTCCTTTTGGCAGCCTCCATCTCTACTTAGGAAATTTCGATAAAGACCAAGACAAACTATCAAACAAGGAAGCCCATTCCCTACTGATTCATTACCGTGGTCTCGGAAGACATTCTAACCCTACTAGCCAACCTCGGGATGAGTGTATTACTGTTCTAGCCCTATTATTTGGGATGCTGGCAAATGGAAAAGAGGCATCCATCAACTCAATACCAGTGACTAACAGGTAGCAGAAGCCAATGAGGGGCTTCTCGGGGCAATCTGGGGAGGGAAAGGAAGCAACATGCATAGGCAACACCTATGCCTCTTCTGTGAGAGCCCATCTCATGGCATCACTGGTGGGTGGCCTCTGGGCTTCCCAACAAGTGTTGCAAGCCCTTCCTATCTGTGCTGACCCCACCTGATCTTGATGCCCAGACCAGTTACACGAGCTGCTGACCCTCCAGTGAGTCTGCTTGAAACACAGACCCTTCCTCTCCATCTGACAGCAGGTCACACCCGCCGCCCTTGGGTTCTGAGCCTTTCCTGGTGTGCATAAGATTCCTAATATTGGAACATTTGGTTTAGTTCCTTTGAAGAAGCATATTTTTCCCGGCCTTCACACCCCAACCTATATGGTGAAGGCTGCTTTCTTTGCTATGTGCCGTTTCTCTCTGAAATCCTCCCTTTAGTGAGCAGTACCGCAAAGGCGTCAAGAGCATGGATTTTAGCATCCAATTGCCCAGTTCAAACTGTAGCTTTACCATTCACCAGTGGTGAGACTGGGAAGAGGACGGATCAACCCTGTGCCCCAGCTTCCTCGTCAGTGGAACAGGGATGGTGCCAGCAGCTTAGCTCGCAGAGCTGTTAGGAGGACTGAATGAGTCCGTATGTGTAGCAGAGAATGCTTGGCACACAGGGAGCCTTACGTAAACATCAGCCATTGTTACTATTTCTCTTCTTCTCATCATAATCCTGCTCTGAGAGGCAGCAGTGGCGAGTGCAAGTACTTTGCATTTAAACTCGAATAGAAGTGTGGGTTAAAATTAGCTTGTAGCACCTTTGGGGCAAGCTGCTTAACCTCTCTGTGCCTCAGTTTCCATATCTGCCTAGGGTCGTCATGGGGATTAAAGGATCTAGGTGTTTGGTCTGGATTTCTCCAGCCTTGCGCACTAGGTACTCAAAGCACAACCCTGTGTAGTGTGTTTTGTAATGGACGATTATTGCAATTGGGAGCAGTGGCTGTGAGAGTAGTTCTCTTTCTCTCTCCATCCCCCTTGCCCTGGCGCCTGAGAAACAGAGCATCCCCATGGCAACAGCGGCAGCTGGTCCCTTGATAAGAGGAGCTAGAGCCGGGCAGCAGCAGCAGCAGCCACTGCAGCAGAGCAGCCGGCCCAGCTTCAGGCAGGACACGCGCCCTCCCTGCCTCTTCATCCCAGCACCTGCACTGATTGGTAAGTGCTTCGGATTTTCACTTGGAGAACTTTCGTGGGGAGAAAAGCAAGTTTCTGATAAGTTACAATTTCTTTATTGTTGCCGGGACGAAGAAGGCTGTAGGAAGTGGGAGGGGGGAGGGCTGCTTTCTGAAGCTGGGGCTGGGTAGGGAGCAAGAAAAGTCACCACTTTCTAATCATTTTTCCAAGGGAGCTGGAGTCCTGTGTTTCGTAAGAGCCGGAGTCCTTACAAATTAAAGTGGGGAGTTTCAAGATGAAGGGGAAGCTTACTTTCCAAGGCTGGGAGAGTGTGCTTATCAAAAAACCTCTCCATGCCCTACTTCAAGGAACAGTCGGTCACCTCTCCAGGAATGCTGCAAATTTAGGTCTTCCAAATGAGCAACCTTGACCTAAAACGTGGCACTTTTTGATCTGAATTCAATCCTCAGGGTAAAAAGAGACATGACAAAGGCTATGAATTTTACATAACCAGAGGGCACTGTAACCAGACACCGCATTGGCCTGTGGACAGACCACCTCCTCGCTTTTTCTGCCATTGAGTAAATCCAGTCCTGATCACTTTGGGGCAATTCTTTAGAACGCCTTACAGCTAAGCTGAGTGTCAGCTCACTCCTAAGAAGCAGCATTACCATGCTCTGAAGACCTAGCAACCGGTGTTTGCAGTTGGTTTATACCTTGTATTGTTCTGATCTCATCATTAGCTTCAGAAAAGGCCAGAGATGGGACGAGGAGATGATTCTAATCGTTTAACTTAGATATGCATGCTAAAAATCACAAGGGAAGGATTGAAAGAGCAAAGAAGGCGACTCACACTTCTTACACTGTTAGTGTGTGTGCTAGGATCTGAGCTGGGAGCTTTATACACACTGTGTCATTAATATTCTCCACAATTCTGCCTATTTTACAGATGTGAAAACTAAGTTTCTAAGAGGACATATAACTTTCCCAAGTTCACCCAGCTGGCGCGGGGACCATTCCCTAACATTTGTTTCTCCCTCACATTGCCGCCCAGCATCAAATGCTGCAGTCACTGAGGAATTTTCTGTCCATGAATTAAACTGTGTGTTCGAACACCCAACTGAGAAATCTACTCAATTTTAAGAGAAAGAACAAAATGCCCAGACTGGCCTCTGACCTCAGAGTGAACTGACCCATCTTTTAGCTGCAGAAATAGCACTACTATCTGAACTAGTCATTGGCTCCGAGCTAGTGGAGGCGGCCTCCCCGACATGTATCCTCAGCTTTCCTGCAGGCCGCTCTGGGTCCCTGTCCTTTGGCACCTTAGTGCCGTTCCTTCTACAGCACTCAGTACCTCGGACCTTACAGTTCCAGTTCTCAAGAGAAAGTGACCTATGTCATTAATAATTCCTGTATATTACATTAGTTAGTATATTTCCTCTCTCAGAGATATTTGCTTTACAAGCATCTCTCTGGGGGGGAAAAAAAACCAAACATGGGGAGGGTGTCAAATGTAAGAATTAGCAAGAAGAAGTTGCAAGAATTTAGCACTGGAGGCCTAAAAACTTCCTCAACCCCTGAAATGAGTCACTTGGTCTGTTGTACATGCTACAACAAACCACCTACATTCTTATAAACAATAGCAACGGAAAAAATAATACAGGCCCACAGGACTTTATACTTTCATTGAGAAATCTGAAATGCTCTGAAAACCAAAAGTTTGTTGTTGTTGTTGTCGCTGCTGTTGTTGTTGTTACTGTTGTTAGGTCCAAGATCAATTCATTTGGTAGCAAAATGTGACCTAAAAGGATACAAATCTTTTTGTAGTCTTTAGTTAAGTCATTTAGTGCAAATATTCATATTTTGCCGCAAAAGTAATACCTGTGATTGTGGTGCTTCCTGAGACCCCTCTGGGGTGTTGTAATACAAATTTCCTGATGTCTACAGCACATGTGTGGCCCAAGGCTTTTCGGATGAGGGTGAGCAGGCCAACATCGACACAGGGGCAGTCCAAATTGTCACTGTGTGAGTTTTAAAACTCAGAGACTACAAGGAAGCAATAAACTGCAAGCGAGTATTAAAGGGTCACAAATCTCTGTACTAGAGACCAGTTATGAGACACACCCAAAGCATCTCTTAAGGCTCTCACCCTTTGGTTAGAATCCGAAGACCCAGAGGAGCAAGTATTTAGGCATGAAAGAACAAGCAGGTGCTTCAGAAAGTTCCCGAATTACAACGAGCTGCTGAGGGAGATGATGAAACCTTCCCAGGGCAGCATGACAGGGAGCAGTGTCCCTTCCCTGGTGCTTGCGGTGGAGACTGAATTAAAGAGAAAAATGCAAGGACAAATCGGGAATAGGAAGTAGAAGCATTCAGTTTCTTAGTTCAAGAATTAGAGCAGCTCCTGTCTTACAGTGGCTCAGTCTTCCTCTGAGGATAGTCTTACCCCTTCTCACTGAGGATAGAAATGGAGAGTGGGTAAGGAGATGGGGGTGTCTCATGCTAACACTCAACAAGCAGGTAAAATGACTGCTATTAATAAGACGATGCTAAACTCCAAATATCCCTTTCCTCCCCTTACTTGTTCTTTACTTTATGTAAAGGTTTTCTGCCAAGAAGATCGTAATGACATCATCTGCAATAAAAGTGTCATCTAATCCCAGGGGCAAAACATATCCCTGCCCAGCACGGAGTAGTTTTGTAATGGAAAATCCCAAATCTGAAAATCATCTCTCAGCCCCCTAGCAGAGGCTTGCCAGTTCACCGCCATCATTCTTTCATTCCTGATAGTGTTGCTTCCCCCACAGACAGTAGGTGCTAACCTGGGAGGAAGCATGTGTCAGTTTTGTGACTAATAACTAGATACCCCTGCCTTGTCCAGGGACTTCTACCACTTGCACAGTTTATCTCCCAAGAGCCGTCTCCTCTCAAGTTCAGAATAGCAATAGCCATTTTGCTCAGATAAGGGCTGGTTGTCCCATGGTTCAATAGCTAGATGAAAATGAAAGATTCAATGGCTTTTTAGAATTTTTCAATTATACGCCTGGTCTTCATTAGTCTGCATCACAATGTTACATAACAATGACTGTCACTTACTCAAGTGCCTACAATATGCAACGCAAGAAGCTATCTTATTTAATCTTCATAGTGATTCTACAAGACAGATACTATCATCTTTGTATGACAGATAAGAAAACTGAGGGTAAGAAGGGGGAGGAAGGGTTCAGAAAGGGACTTGTGTCCCTGGGCGTCACGTGCACAGTACAAAGGTGCTAGCCTTTGCAAATTCCATCATAGCAGCAATCGGTTGTATGGAGAAAGGGAATAAGTGATGACATTCCACTTAGGCACCATTTACTCTCAGTATATCATTAAGATTTAGCTACTTCATCAAAGTCACATGGCCTTTTAGTTAAGGAGCTCTGATTTAACCAAGATCTATTTGGCTTGAAAGCTCTGGTTTAAATTAAATAACCATCTACTGAGCACATGGGAGCAACCTTATGATCTAAGTATAAAGAAGAGTTACCGTAGGTTGGAGAGATGGAGAGGGGTACTATTGTCAGACAGGACCTGGAGTAGAAGGTTGAAGGCCTGATGTCAAATGATGACTCTGACTCTAAGTGTGTGACTAATGGTAGGGCATTTGAACCACTTTGAGCCTCAGTTGCTTCTGGAGAATGAATACTTTGACCAGGTTCTCAATGGGGTGATTTTCAGCACAAAGTCTATGACAGAGCTAGTGTTTCTGCCCAAAGAGGAGGAAGATTGGTTATGTAGGTGCACAGCCCATGTTCAGGGCTGTAACTTTGCCTCTAGTCCTCAGCACTGAGCCCACTCGTCCTGAGAGAGGGTCCCACAGCTTACCTCTCCATTCAAGCAGGTGGGGGTTGGCCATCCAAGTTAACAGCATACATGGTCCCAGGGAGTTGGAAGGCTCTGTACAAACACTAAACACAACGGTCTAAATTGATTTCTGCTGAAATCACTCAGTATCATCAGTCTCCTCAGAATGACACTAAAAGCCAGGCTCAAGTAATCTGTTAATGGCTCCATCTGCTACACAATGATCTCAGCCTGTAGGGGGAGAGGCTCTCTAGCCATCCCTGAAAAAAACTGGCTTACTCCACATAAGACAACTGAGTTGAACTAATTCTATGAGCTCAAAATGTTAACAAAGGCTGGTCTGAGTTCACCTGCGTGTCCCGGATCCAAGGATCAAGAGGAGAGGATCAACTGGGTCCTTTTAATCTTATTCCTCTCCAATCATTCTTGCTATGGTAGGACATGAGTAAAAAATTATCTGAAAGAAATTCAAGTAGCAGAAACTAGGCAGACTATACTGAAGATTTTCTACAAATCTCAACTAATGCATCTTTCATTCAGACCTGACACATGTCCATTCTGGATTTACACTTCTCCTGGACAATTGCTACAACTAATAACTCTGAAAAGCTTAATGGATTTGTGGTCTAGGGAAAATGGGAGATGGGGGATGGGGGAAGGGAAGAGGAAACAGACTTGCTTTATTGTCAGAAATCTCTAAGGAGAAAATAATAAAGATCTATTTCAAGACCTAGATCAGTCCCTACCACCTCTCTACCACCATCATCATATGGATAGGGAGGTCTCATTACTTTATAGCTACAGGATGTAATGGTTGAAAAGCAGAAGCCTTGTTCAATTAGGACTCAACAAATTCGCTATATTTTTAAGAGATTTGAGTATCTAGTGGAAGTCTGCAGAAATAGATTTGGATCCAGGTTTGGCAACTTAGTAGATGTGTGATTAAATAAATTAATTAGATTTTCTTAGCCTTGGTTTTCTCATCTATGAAGTAGGCCTAATCTTACTTTGCAGAACTCAACAGAGAAAATATAGGCGAGGTTTAATCAAGATTTTCTGTAACTTTCAGCTAACTCATTTATAATTCAGACTTGACAAGTGTTCATCTTGAAACTCCCACAGTGCCTCTGAGAGAGGGCAAATATTGAATATTTGATACATGACAATTACCAATAAATCCATGTGCAAATGCGCATATACGTGTGTGTGTGTGACAGGTGGTAGGGGAGAGATTCATTCATTTTGGCTTAAATCTTACATTAGAGCTTCTAGTAACTCAGTAGAAGATGCAGACTTGAAATATAGGATTGAATTGGGAACATAATAATACGTGTTCAACAAATATACTCATTTAAAAAAATGAATGAATGAACAGAAGACATACTTATAAACTTGTACCTCATACTTCTGTAGTGCCACGGAATAAATACACACAGCCGCCCACCTTTGATGATGTCCACTGAGCAAATGCAGCCACTGGAGCTCTCAGAAGACAGACTGGACAAGCTTGACCCTCGTTGCAGCCACTTAGGTAAAGCTCCAGTGTGAATGTCACTAGTGGAAGTCAGAAAGCGGGGGTCTTTGCCATTCAGTTTGCAGGCAAGTCAGAAGGAGGTCCCCTGGACCCTGATAGTTTGTGTCTTCTGATAACGGCCAACACCAGATGGACAGACAAATAGCCATGGGTCTGTGGGGTCTGCCATGTAAATATTAGCTGAAGCACTGGAGAGAAGTTCATTAGAGTTAAAAAGGGAGAGAGAGGGAGAAAAGGCATTATCATCTTTTTCGGGGTCTGAAAGAGTTCCAGGCAGAGCATTTTTGAGGCAATAAATGGAATGTGGCAGTATAGCTTACAACCAGTATTTCCTAGCACACTTACATCCCATGTGCGGTGCCAATAAAATATTTCAAATATCTCTGTCTATCAAGACAGAATTTTAAATAGCCTTTTTCTGCTTTATTGTCAATCTGTTTCCTTTCCAGAACTGACTTTCTGCATAACCTTTGTAATGAAAATACCAGAAACATTTCTGCCTCTACCCATTTCTAAAAATGAGCCGCTCAGTCTTTGATGGATGGGCCTTTTGCATATTCATAGCCTTTGTTTATGCCTTGCCTGGTTATGACACCCCCAGCCTCTCCCCCTCCCCATTTTCCATCAAGATATTTTATATTCGAGATTTCTCCAAAAATGGGAAAATGTATAATTGAAGTAAAAGTCAGAATTGAAACAAATGTCTTGGCTGAGTTGCCTCCAGGGGTTGAATGGTGACCCATGACTAGTCCATAACCAGCCTATTCCCTTAGAGACCCCAAAGATAGGCTACACCCACTCTGAGCAACACTCATTCATTCAAGAAATATCTATGTATGTGTAATATGGGAGGAAATTAACTGATTATGTGCTAACAAATCTTTAAAGTTGCATTTTCACCCAAGCATTAAGTTAAATAGTCCCAAGAACCTGGCTTTAATCCTGATGCCAGCACCCACCAGCAGTGTGACCTTTGACCTTCCAAACCTCAGTTTCCTCATCTGCAAATTGGGGATAGGAGTACACCTTCTTTGTAGCCTTGGTTTGAGAACCAAAAGAGATAATGTGTTCAAGATGATATGAATATTTAGCAACTGGTAAAAACACAGGCATTGACAAATCAGAGAAGATATTGGTCCATCCCACATACCAGAATGATGTGAAATCATATAGTACAATCTCAATAAATGTGTATTAAATTGAAATGATGAAATAGCAACTAATAAAATATTTTAGGTGAAAGGAAATAATTTGCTACTAGTAAATATGGCGCTATTTGATATTTTTGGTTATGCATTGTGATCTTTTGATGACAGCCATAATGATGTATGGTTACTAAATATTTCTGATGTTCAGTTCCTTGTATGTATTGGGTTTTCTAAAACAAGGGATCGTCCAGATCGTCCACTAAACCACATGCAACTTGAAATCAAGGACCATTTTTACTTGTCCTTTTAGTCCTAGAGTCTAGCTCAAGGCCTGGCATAAAATAGGTTTTCCAACATTTTTTGAATAAATAAATGAATGAATGACACAGGTTATATCTAGACCCACAAAACTGAAGCGAAAACACAAAGAGCTTTATTGCCTTATAGTTTCTTTGAATCCTAACAGAATAGCTCCTTACACGTAATACGTTTGACTTCATTCACTCGAGCATATATTCAGTAAATATTTACTCATCATTGCTAACAAGACACAACACAAGATACCTGTCAGCAAAGAGGGCAAAGAAAACGTATGCGGAAATAATAACTAAATTATCTTTTAAAGGTGTTACGTGAGCAAAAATGCTGTGGGTATTCAGAAAACGAGAATGAACACCCAGAACGGGTTAATATAGAAGGACTTATAAAGATGGGAGGCTTTCCTCTGGGCCCAGTGGAACGTGTTAGTGGGTGAGCGATGGCCAAAGGGAACATCCGAAATGTATCAAATATATCAGATGCTTTACCAGCCTTAGCAAATTTAGTTCTGTCCCTCTGTCCCTCTGTCTCTCTGCCTCTGTCTCCGTCTCTCTCTGTCTCTGTCTCTGTCTCTCTCTCTCACACACATACACACGCACTCACACACACTAAAAGCTGAGAGAATATTAAAGTTCCTAGAAATTAAGGCCCAAGTTCTCAGAACTAGCAAGTGACAGAGTCAAGATTTGAACTCAGATCAGTCTAACCACCTACTCGCCATTTAATATGCATTTATAGGAAGGAGAGGCAATTAAGAATAAAATTATAAAAGCGATATAATTTTTAATCGCTGAGACGGCTCTGTCTAGATCAGGAGATCAACCATTACAGAAATGAACAGGTGCTAGAATCATGACAAAAGAACTCAGGGGAGAGCAACGTAAACCAAAGTGTCGAGGAATAAGATGGACTAAAGAAGGTACTTCGATGGGTAAGAAGTGATCAGATTGAATGAACTATGTATAATGACATGTGATGATAGATTCAGTCCTCAAAAGCCCTGGTGAGGTAATACAGGGGACTGAAAAGAGTAAAGCGATAAATAAGAAGACAAGAGGAACTTGGGTTAAGATACGGGGCAAATAGAAGAATTGCAGAGCCAGGACAGTGAAAAGGCCAACACTGAAGCCCCAGTGTCAATCATCGTTGTGACTTGCCTGGCCACAGAAGGGAAGGCGAGTGAGTAATTTCCTGAGGACCCAATATAAGACCCAAGAGAGCATAAGGATTCTACCAGCCCTTGGAGGCTCCAAAGAGAGCAAGCCTTGAGCAGAGGACATGGAGAAGGAGGGCTTAGCACAGAAAACCTATTCTCCCTTTAGCGATGTAACTCAAACCCACTCCACGGCTTGCTTAACGATGTTTTAAAGTTCCTCTTTGCCTTGGGTATTCATCCCATTTGAGTTCTCTTTATCTGGAGTTTTACAGAATTCTACTTTTCCATTTTAGTATAGGTATTTATGCAAGGCTACTAAAATTCTCTGTAGAAGAAGCCAAAGTAAAGAAATATTTTTCTTTTTTCAGACCAATGGCTTCTGCCCCTTTCATCAGGTAGAATTGGAAACCAACCGGTTTGTGACGAGGTCCTTACTCATTCATGTTGTCTTTTTCTTTGCATCCCGTCGAAATCAGATGATCTTTCAGACCAGTTCATTAAGGACTGTGAACTCAAAAAGAAGCCAAGAAAGGGGAAAAATGTACAGGTCACCCTGAACATCGAGTCAGACCAAAAAAAACCAAGGAGGAAAGATACACCAGCGCTGCACATCCCACCGTTTATACCAGGTAACGGATGATGAGGTCAATTTGCACATCTGTAAAGGGAACTGCTTGCCACTGGAGAACATTGGTCTTGCCATTTTTTCCTTAAAAGCATGGCTGTTTTTTTAATCAATGGTACAATATCTGCATAACACAATACAGGTTTAGTTTTCACTCACCAAGTTGGAAGTTTGGAGTGAAGGGTGGCAGGCTCTGCTCCAAATAGTCATTCAGGAACTCAGGCTGATGGAGGTTGAGATGTCATCAGTACATGGCTTCCAGAGTCACCACACGCATCAGCATCCTGTAGGCACAAGGGAGACAGAGGGAGGACTGACAAGCCCGCAAGTGGCACACATGACTTCTGTCAGTCACAGACCTCACCTGACCGCAAGGGAGGCTGAGAAATGCAGCCCAGCTATGTGCTCAGGAGAAAAGCGAAATGGTTTGATAAACAGCTAACGTGTCTCTGTAACAAGCTGGCTTGGGACATGTGGCACTCTTATTCCTGAATATTTGTTTTGTCTTATTTCCTTGTCTCCTTCCGTCCAGGCCACTTATTTAATGTCTTCTTTATTCACAGCCCACTTGGAGGGAGACAAAATAAACAGAACGCAGAGTTCTGGGAAGGACCAATGTTATCCCAATAAATTTAATTTTAAATAAATAAATAATGTAAGCACAGAAATGGCTGAAATATACATTAGGACGTAACGTCATGACGGATGCCCTTAGTTAAAGGCCCTGGAAGCTTTGTCTGGTCAGTGAATTGTGGAAAATTTATAGATAAGTCTGTTTTCAGAGAGTTTATAAACAATGACGAAAATTTTCACAGGTAGAAGAGAGGTGAAATGCCAGGCAGGTAGAGGTAGGCAACTAATTAAGTCATTGAAGAGTGGGGGGCATGGCTCGCAGAGCAGCAAATAATCCATCTCTCTGACCAGACGGACTTTGGAGGCAGACGGACCTGGGCTCCATTTCCGACACCTCAGAGCTGCGTTGCCTCGGGCTCATTTCTTTGCTTCACCTTCCTCAGACACATGATGCAGGTAGTAGTAGTAAATTCAAACCAGGCGTGTAAAAACCTCACAAAGAAAATGTTCTCTGGTGTAGCCTCAATAGATACTAACCCTTGTTTTTGTTTTTTTAACTGCTTTTTATTAAAATAATTTGAAAAGATTTATTGGTGACCGTATACGTGCAAATATGAACATATGTTCCTTGTGTATGAGGATATGTTTTTGACTCTGTTTCTCCCTGTGTTCCCCGAACTATGCAGGTGTGCTTTCTGAACACTTAATTAAAAGATATGAGGTCCAAGAGAGACATCCAAAGGGCAGAATGAGTCCAGCCCTCCATAACACTGACCTGGAACAGAAAAAGCCAAGGAGAAAAGACACACCTGCCCTGCACATGTCCCCTTTTGCAGCAGGTAAAAGAGCTGGTGCAGGCTGTTTGCAGGGGATGATGGGAACAGGTCAAGACCCTTACCATCTGGAGGTGCCGCAGGCGTGGCCTTTGTCCTGGCAATCTGTGTTGCACGGAAGTGCTCTGGGGAGGAGCAGCATTTCTTGCTGCCTTTCAGGTTTACCCTCATTTGCAGCTCCCCCAGGGCTGACATGGAGATGTGGGGAGGGTCAGAGACTTACTCATGCTTCAGCAAAACTGGTCAGATTTACCGAACCAATGCAATAGAAATGTCAGCGGGTCCTTGAGAAGACTCCCCTGCCCAGTCTTCTACCAATTACGATCCTATAGCTAGCTGATGGCTGATTCTCCCAAGGCACCCAGATATATTGTCCAAAACCTCAAAACAAGAGAAAGAAAGAGGGAGAGAGAGATTCAAAGACAATGATAGCTATCTTAATATGTGTCAATTTAAACCAAGAAATCTTGCTGAGCTATGTGCACAAACCCGGGCTTGAAGGCAGCCAGTGTGTGAGGTATAACCTTTTCCCTGAGAATTTCTTGTGCAAGTTGGGAAATAAGACATGTACATTCATGATCAGAGTGTAAGACAGTGTATTGTGTGTGTGTGTGTATGTGTGTTTTATAGATAGTTGGTGGGGGGTGGTAGAGGAGAAAACGTACCAATGTTTATTGAGACCCTACTAAATGTTAGGGACTGAGTTTGGCATGTCCTGTGGATTTTTAAAAATCAACTGAATGACACAATAAATTAGCTATTGTTTCTCTTTACAGATAAAGAAATTGAGAATTTAAGTAACTTAGCCACTTTGAAGGCTTCTAATGGATGAAATTGATGGGTGGCTGGACGATTGGCTGAATGGACTGATAATGAGATGATTAGATGATACATGAATGGAGCAAATTATGCTCAAAATCAAACACTGGGGTTCTAACCCCAGGCCTGTCTCACCTGTGGGCAGTTTTTTAATTATACTATGCTATAGGTTGGACTTTTAGCGTTCTAGCAATCCAGAAGGCACACTTTAGGGAGGAGACGACATTTGGCTCTTACTATAAAACCATGCTCCCCCATTATTTCATTGAGTAAAGAAAAAAATTGAAAGATGGCTGAGAATAAGACATCATGAAGAGGCTGTCAGGAGTGCAGACAGGGTCGCGGATTTCGGAAGGGCAGAACAGGCAAGGAGGCGTGGAGCATGAAGAGGCCCTTCTCTGGAGAAACAGACCAAAGGCCAATTGGGAGGGTCTGAACCTGCCTCAGCCATGGTTCTCGCAGGTTACACGCATTCCCACCGACACCGATCCTGCAACCCATCACACGTTTCCCTCAAGCTCTGCCTCTGTCCAGGTTCCAGTCACCTCTCAAGGCTCAGCTGGCAAAAAGTCTCAGCTAAGAGACCCCTCCAAGTCCAAAATGAATCTTTTCTATCCTGAACTAGCTCTGTATTAGACATGTGCATGCAAATACCAAGACTATCGCCCCTTTTAGTATTGTTCTTATTGTTCTTGTTGCTTTTATCGTAGCTGTTATTTCAATTGACTTACACCAATGAATTCATGAGAACTGGCCCGTGATTGACTTATGTTGCTGGTATTGACCTTGATGTCTAGTCCAGTCCCCTCTATATAGCAATACTCCATATGTGTTTGTGTTCTTTTAATATGTTCTATTTGGCAATCACAATTCTGCAGTTCAAGTTTTCCATTAGATTTATTTTTTACCCATTCTTATATTTGGGTTTTTTTGAAGTCTTTCTAAAGTAAGACTTGGTAGAGAAACAAAAACATTTGAAGAGTCACCTTAGTATACAGCATTGAACATGAGACTTAAAGTCAGAAAGGTCTAGGTCTGATCTCTGGGTCTGCTCCATTCTAGCTTTGTGACCCTGGGCAACTAACGTAGACTATAAGTCTCCTTGGTTCATCCATATCTGAAAGGAGGACCATAAAATCTATCTTCTACAGTTGTTAACACAATTGAACAAAGCATAGAAAGTACTTAGGACGTTACCAGCTTATTCAAAGACCTCAACAAATGTTAGTTCCCCTTCATTCTCCGTTCAACCTTCTATTCTCTGAGATAAGTCAAACCATTTCTAAAGGTGAGAATTTTCCTGGCCACTATGTTTTACCTCTCCACATAAACCTGCTATCTCAAGGAACTTTCTAAAATGTTGAGCTCTGTTTACCTGACAATGGATACTGCCTACATCTCAATATCTACATCCTAAGAGAGCAGCTTCCAGTTGAATAAAAAATGTTTATAAAACAGTGAAAAGTACACAGAGCTGAAGCGGGGCTGGGGCTGTATATCCACAGACTCTGTACACATTATGGAATTCTTTGAATCAGCAAATCTCTGTGTCATATTTACAATTATAGATCGCATTCTACGATTCTAGCTTTTATTAGCATGTTAGCTGAATCCCTTTATTTTTGAAGAGCCTTTTAGTATCTAAAGATTTGGCAGTAATTGAAATGCTAGTTAGGCTGATAAGGATAGAGCCTTCAGCAGATGTTCAGAGAAAGTCACATTGGTTCTAATAAGAGTGTAGAGAGGAGCTCACAGACAAATGCACTCCAGAGACGTCTCCTCTCATTAGCCCTTGGCAAGAGAAGACTGGACAGAGATTTGCTCTTTCTTCTAAATCTCTCACTAACTAGCCCATTCCCCTAGGTTAATGAGCTCATCTGACGGGTTCCAATTGCCAGATGACTCCTCAGTGAGGAGTCATCTCAGGCTTCATCACCAGCCCAAGGTTTGCTCCCAACTTGGCCCACAGTTGCCAGGGCCCCCCATCTTGGTGGCTGCATGGCAGGGAGCATTGGATTATGATTGGTCAGCTCTGAGTAGCTGAGATCTACTTAAGAAAAAAGAAGTCGTTAGTTGCAATCTGTGCCAAAAGGAACCAGGGAAAGTAAAAAAATCACGAAGCTACAATCATTGAAGAGGGGTCTCCTGGAAAATTGGTCCATGAACTGTGAACATTTGGAGAGCAAAGTTTAGTATGCGCTTGTAGAAAGAAGACATATGTCCTGTGAAAGTGACACCTATGTCCTGCTGAGAATAGAGCATTTTCTCAGGTGTAGTTTACCTGGAGAGGTGGTATCTTAGCCTGGCTCCCTTAGATCAGAGGCACACATCTATAATCCAGGTGACCAGCTTTAGACGGTGCTCTGGGTGGGGTCATGGCCTTAAGCAGCTTGCTGCAAGGCTAACTGACCCTTGGAGACCCTGGACTGACAGCTTTGGCCTTAAAAACACACCAGCTCTAACAAGCGGCCAAGTTCCCTAAACTCCCACATAGAGAGCAGAAGGGGAGAAACTGACATTTTATAAATCCCCACTGTACTCCAGGTCCTATGCTGGATGTTAAAATATTCTGTGAGAATCTCACCATTCCGTGGGGGAGAGGAATATATTGTCCAGTGATTCCTACAATGTGAAAAGTGCTTTAACGAAGCTTTCTGTTAAGGTGCAGTGGACGCCTGAAAGGATGCTAGCCTAACTCTATCTGGTGGCATCACCCACCAAGGAAGATACAAATTTTTTTCCTCTAGTTTTGCAGATGAATAAACTAAGGCTCAGATAGGTTCAGTGCTTTGCCCAAAGTTGAATGACCACCAAAGGCAGCTTTCTGGCTCTGGAGAACATTCCTTCTGCTTCCCACAAGAGAACATGCGGATCAGGACTGGGTAAACCAGAAAGACGAATGTTTGACGAAATTCGTTATCTTCAAATCACCAAACGACAGGAAACATCAAGAATCAGAAGGTAGCAATTGTATGTAGATGCTATAAATAGATGCTAATAATTTAAGCCTCATTCTAAGCCATGATATTCATGAAATCAAGATTTTGATGAACTACCATAATTTCTCATTATAAGGTATTAAAAATTAATGTTTATCTATATTAATACAAATGCTAGTTCACTTTCCACTTGCAGTTATTTCCCATGTCCCTGTGGAAAGTTAGCCCACTTTGGGAAGGGCTGACCTTGATTAAACAGGCTCTTCCCTTCCCTAAAACCTCAAGACTTTTTTTTCCCCCAGATACTCATGACTAGGCTTCAGGGATACCCAAAATAATCAGAGTGTTGACTGGGATCTGGACATTTTAAGGCTCTTGTTCACTTTTAATCAACCCACAATTTGGCTTAATGGGAAGCAATATCGAGGAAGATAGAATAAAAAGTTAGCAGGCTCAGCACAGCTAACTCTGTGTTCTCCTTCCAAGGTAGCCTGAATTCCAAATAAAGATCCAAACCTCAATGCAGCTGGTCTAAGAGAAAAATGCCTCCCACTGTGTTTCGTAAGTGATTTATGCAAAAGACTTAGTTTCGGCTAGACTCTCGAAATTGTTTTCTCCTGCAATAAATATCAGCTAATTGGTTAAAGAACCCATGTGAACAAACTAGCAACTGAATCAAATGAATAGCCATCAAGATTAACACATAGTTTTTATGAATTTGCTGCTGTCGAGTGGATCCCAGGGTTGTAGAGAGGCCTCTTGTGGTACACAGCTCTCTTCCCTTAAGTTCGGATCTTTACGAAATGCTTTATGGACTGAGAGATCTCTAATCATGAGAGCTTGGGGGCGGTGCAGGGCGGCGGCAGGAGGCAAAACTGGCTGGCTGGCGTGAGATGACAGATGTCACAAAGGACTGATCTTGAATCACAGCGTCCTTGGTCTTTTTATTGAAATGACCCTACTTCCCAATTCACATCATAAGCAGGACCACCCAGATCTCGGATGGCCTCTTCTGGGCTGATCAGTCCAGAAAATTGAGCTTAGGCTTCTGAATTTCACGAACCAGTAAACTTTTAAAAACAAAATATCGTGGAGCCCAACATAGGAAGAGAAGCTTTGAATTTCGCCTAGTAGGATGCTGAAAAAGCAACCATTTAACATTCCTGAAATTTCATAAAAGAAAGGAGATTTTAATTCCCGTAGAAGACAAAGAATCATCTTGAAATAACGGAACAACTTTTTAAAATTGTAGCCGTCTAACTGTATGAAAAACTCAGTACACATCCCTTATTTTCTCACTGTGCTCTAAAGTATGTAAACTTTAGCTACTAGTACTGGCATTTAGAAATGGCGTGTTCAGAGCCTCAGCTCAATATTTTCTCCAGATGTTAGCAAAATCTGTTGAAGTTTGACTTCATGAGGCTTACCAGTTCTTTACAAAAGGAAAATAAACTAGAAAATTGTGAGAGAAAGGGAAAAACTGACTTTTAGTTGCTCGCAGGTGTGGCACAGTGCTAAGCATCATTATATACTTCTTATTTAATTGTCAGAATAACCTTTGTATAAGTATTAGTGCCCCAGTTTAACACATGAGATAATTTAGGTATGAAGGTGTTAACTGTCTCAACACAGATTGACTGGCAGAATGAGAAATCCAAAACATTTAGAATCCAAAATTCACGTGTTTTCCATCCTGCAGAGCTGCAAGCATAAATACAGAATGTAGAGAAGAGGGTGAAGGTCTCCTCCGACTCCCTGGTCGAGAGTCCCCTGGTAACCAGAGTGTTGTCCTCATTGAGCCACAGCTCCTCTGGGAAGGCCAAATAAGGCCACCCAGCTCTCCACTCTCTCTCTGTTAGTTTTGCAGACACAAAAAGGTTTCTGGGTTGCCATGTTCCTGTGCATCGTGTCAATGCTGAAGGGCTAGTATTTTAATTAGAAGCACTTAATTGCAGATCTGTGTCTTGTTTTGCAGGTGTGACACTGCTCAGGGAGGAGAAACCCAAAGTGATCATGGAAGATGACGAAAAGGATGGTGATGGTGACAAGATAACTATTTAAAGATATTTCCCCAGAGACCACTTGTAAATAGGTTAAATTGGTTCCCTGTGGTGACCTAGAAAAAACAATAGACTCGTTTCTGCTCTCATTTTGTCGTAGTCTGCCTTTAAGGTCCGGACACCTTTTCCCCGGAAGACACGCTCTATCAGACTGCCAGCCACCTCCTTGCCTCTCTCTTCTTTCTTGAGTCTGGTTTGTTTCTATTACCACCTCCTGAATTTTCATTTTCTAATGCAGGGAACAGGAAGCAGATCATCGTTCTAAATTAGGAGATAACAGGGAAAGCTCGAGCATTTAGCTTCTGCATCTTCAGAGTCAATTCATGGAGCAAAGAACGCGAAGAACACGGAGATCCTTAACTTCTTGGTTTATGCTGCAGGGCGGGACTTGACATCCAAACACCACTTTGAGTGGCAGCTCCCTGTTGCCAGTTAGGGAGGTGAGACTGCATGAGTTCTAACTCTGTGGTTGCTTTGGAGAACAAGGTCTTTTATTTCTTTCCTCCTTTCTCAAGAGTCCATGTGTCTCTGGTGACATTCTTAAGATCCTTGTAAGTGATACTCTAAAGGAGACTATGCGAGCTGGGGGACTCAACCCAGCCAGTCATGCCTTGGCTGAAAATACTGGAGGAAGACAGTGCTGAGAAGTCTGAGAAGCTTCGCAATATATTCTATTTTCTTTATTTTTAAAAGCATCTCTTAACCATGTCGTCCTGAAATTTGTAAGGTGTATCACAAGTGAACCATTACTAATGATAGTAGGAAAACTGCCGATATTTGTGATGAATTTGCTTTTAAAAAGTTAATTAAGGTCAGTGGAAGGTCATTTCTATATTTTTAGCATTCTCATTTATTTAGACCCCAATATGCTTTCCTAGAGGGGAGAGAAAGATGTGGTGTTAGCGAGTGAGCGAGAGTCTGTACATAATTCCTGCCCCAGTCTGCAGTCAATGGGTACGGTAGGAAAGCTTTGCAAAGGGCCTCATCCACCAGGTGATAGACATGGGGAAAGACCAAGTTTATTGTTCAACGGTAGAAAGCTGGATATTTGAACAGATCCTGACTAAAAGTGATCACCTGGAAGTTCCGCATAAACCCTGTCTCCAACAGTTTGGTGATCTCTTCTGTCTTTCTGTCCTTCTCACAACTGTGGAGAAGATGCAGGACCCTGCTGGTAACAAAGATGCTTCTCACCATATCTCAGTGTCCTGGTGCATTCCTCCTAAAAATACTCTATGGACTTATAATTACAAAGAGAAGAAGTTGCAAAAGAGACTCAGGATTGGTTGGTTGATTTGTTTTTGATCCACAGAGGTTTAAAAATGTTTGAATAAGCTGTTTCTATTTAACAAGCTACTAAGGAGAATTTACATAAAATTCTTAATTTGCAGATTCTCTTGGAAAAACACTGCAAGATCTGGCAACCCTGGGCCCGACTAAAAGCATGGCCCTGAGTGCCCGGGGCCCTTTAGAAGGAACATGTGTTCTCCACTTGCCATGTGCCATGCCTAGCAATAGGTACCCACAGGCTTCACCTTTGAGTTCAGAGCCCCTGGTGAAGACCTACCTACACTTTGTGTCCCTAACGACCTCTCCCCTCTCTGATCCCAGTGCTCCCACTGATGGCCCCAATCACAGCTTCGGGAAGAAGGGAATAAGACTGTGGCCAGGCCGTTGGTTGAGGTATAAGTGGTGAAACAGTCCACCATAAAGTCTAAGAAGCCAAGAGCATTTACATGTATGTGGATGATAGGACTTTATCACTACCAGAAGCAATTTTTTTACCAAGGGTTTCTTATTAAGAAAATACAGATTTGCAGGACAAGCACAAGGCACTCCTGCAGCCATGCCCTCATGGTGTGCTCAGTAAACTCACAAGAGGCTCAAAAAAGTGCACCCACCACCACCACCACCACACACACCATTTCTGACTTCCCAGGGTGGGGTGGAAAGTAGACCAGCCGTTGTAGAGACAAAAACCTCTGAGTCTGTTGTTTTGATCTTGAAAATGAGAATAATAATCCCTGCTTGGTCTTTATAGTTTGAGAATCAAATGAGATAATGAATGGCAAAGCCCCACCCATCTGCAACACAGGATAATTGTAAGATACCTTCAGAGGGTAAACTGTGCCTTTTCTGGTGCCAAATCCATATCGCCTGGGTAGCAACCATGTGGACTTTATTCACAGCATCTTTCAAAAGCAAGGAGACCCCATCACTTCTGCTGACTTAACTAAAGAACAGCCCTCTTCTTTCTGGGAAAATGGTCTTCAGCCTCAAATGAGTGCTCACAGATGGTGAGGGGCAAAACCAGTTGGAACCTCTAACCAGCCCCAGATACAACTGGGGTGATCTGGATGGAAGCTGAATCTCCCTCACTTCCCTTGATGCATGTGACCCTTTTCTGGGCAGGTAAACTAGATGTTTAATAATGACGATTACATTCCAATTAAAATAGTGCTCCATACATTGTGAATGACTTCCCTCTAATCAAATAATAGTCGTATTAAGAAAATAAAAACATTACATGGTACCCCATTCAGAAAGAAGGCCCAAATTAAAGGCGCTCCAATAGAACTGGGGGACCAGTTGGCCATTTGTTCATTCTGAAGCCATCTACCCCAACCCCAGGCTACCAGAGATGAGAAGACACTACACATGAGACTCTCAGCTCTCTTTCAAAAGCTCCACACAGGACTGGCCCCTTTCTTAAATCCAGAGCCTCTTTAAAAGCTGCTGCCTGAGATCACACAGCCAACTTCTAATGCTTAATTGTCACTTGGAGAAGCTGGCATCGAAGGATCAGGACAGAACCATAAAGGACTCAAGTAGTGTTTCCCTTTAAACACAATTAAGTGTTTTCTCCCCTCTCCGCAACCTGTGTTGTCCAAGGTGGTTTCTTAAAACAAAGACTGAGTGAGGTAGCGTGCAGTTATGAAAATAAATTAGTCAAGCAATTATTTTTTCCTAGCTGAGAATAGGAGACTAGTCACATGACGGATTATGCAGAATCTCAGTCATCTTGTGTAAATGAGGCTCCCTCGCCACTTGTAATTTGTAAGTTGTGAAACTGTTGCTCAGAAAACTCCCCAAGGCACTGAATGAATGAATGAATGAATGAACTTAATGGAGGAACTGTGAATACCCTCCTTCTGGTCTCCTGGATGTACACTTGCCTTTGAACTGGCTTATCATCTCTACAGAGGTTCAGAACACCCTAACGACCATAGTTTCTGACCCCCTGAATCAGGGCAGAAGATTCTGCACAGATAAATATATTTTGGGAGAAAACAATCTACTATTTTAAATCAACTCTGTCCCAGAAAATCCAAGATATCACTGACCTTTCTCAAAAAGAAAGGGCTGGGTACTTCCTACCTACAGTAGCAGGTCCTTCCTGCAAGGTGAGATGCGTCCACTTTCAGGACACTTGCTGAGAAGAAGAGACAGAAAATGGAAGACAGTTGTGCTCCTCCTAACCAATGTCACTCCATCGGATGCCAGATGTGAACTGTGAGTGTTGGATGAAAGCAGTAAACTACGAATTCTCATGTTCTCATAACTATGCGTTAGAACTCCAGAAGAGCAATATATACTTTAATGTTGATCAACTAAGTCATGCATAAGCTGTATTTAAAATTCTAATGTCCTTCCTTGAAAGGAAAAGCGTGCTCTGAGCCTTGGCATTTGATCAACGTTTTTCTTCTATCATCTCATCTGATACTCAAAAGCGATTGTAAGAAGCTAAATTACCAGAGAAATTGACTCGGATGGGAAGCCAAGACAGAAACTCACATCCCCGAACTCCTAGCCCAGTGCTGTTCATATAGTATAGAATTACTTCAAAACTCCCCCACATAAGCAGAGTCCAGAGGAGAGAGAAGGTTAAAGAGGGAGGTTTCCCAGTGATCCAGGAGGGACTGAATCATATAAGTGGTTCCTCTTAGTGACTTTCCTCTGCCCTCTCTGTGGAGATTGTTTTTGAACGAATAAGTACATAAATACATATGTTCAACTTCTTGACACCTTAAATTTAATCATTTCTAGCAGGCCCTATGTTTTTGGGGAGGGATCAAGTTATTTTTGTCTTCCCACTCCACTCCATCCCCGCATCATCCATTCTTTACTTTGCGGCTGAATGACATTTTTCAACCCACAAATCTGACCATGTCGGACTCCTCCTCAATGTCTTCTCACTGCTTACAATAAAAGCAAAGATCTCAAGCCTGGGCCAGTTCACTCCTCCATCCTCTGTGTTCCAGTGACACTGGCCTCCTGTGCAGCGTTCAGCCTTCCACAGTGGCCTTCCCGCCACTGCCAAGGACACTCCTTTCCCTTCCCTGCCACCCACACCCCTGCCCCTGGCCCCACGATGCCCAGTGCATCTGGCTCATTCTTCACAGCTCAGGAAAATGCCACTTCTCCGAGAAGACTCTCACCTCTTCACCAGGTTGGGTTAGAGAACTCACATGTTCTCTGACCGCCATGCCTTTTCTTCCACAGTCCTTCTTGCTTTTCATGATCGTTTGTGACACTGATTAACAGCTGTCTCTTTGCTGTTGCGTGAGGCCCACAAATACAAGGATTGTGTCTGGTTTTGCATTACTTATTCCTTATACTTGGCATAGAGTTCAGTATCATGTAATGAGGCAGAAACGTGAGTGAGTGAGTGAGTGAGTGAGTGAGTGAGTGAGTGAGTGAGTGAGTGATTCAGTCAGTCAGTCAGTCAGTTGGTGAGTCAGTGAGTCAGTGAGTGAATAAACTTTGTAAGAAGCCAAGCCTGATAGTGCAAGTTTGCCATGCCACCTGCCTAAGTGGAGGAACGCAGGTTACTAACTCCTGCAGTAGACCAGGTAGTCACCACCGAGCCGCATGCGCACATCAGCCCCAGCAAGCCGGCCTGCTTCCTGGACCCCGGGTCTTCCCCATAGTGCCAGGGGCTTCTCTCAGTCAGCAGCCCACTTCACCAAGAATGGAATTTCTTGTTATCCAGTCCTCCTC